AGACCACCTAGGCAGATTTCCCTTGGGGGCTATTATCGCCAGGAAGATGAAATGATTTTCAGAGAGAGGAGCTTCCACACACAGATGCACAGTTTCTGATACCGATCTCACTTCAAGAGAGGTTCTTCTTCTTCTTCTTCTTCTTCTTCTTTAAAGTAACTGTCAATCAAGTCTCATGTCTAAGAACAAAAGCTCTGATTGATCATTATTTTAGGCAAATGTCAAGACAAATTTATTCAGGATTTATCCTTTGCAAAAAAAACCCAAAACTGTAAAATGCATTTTGTAGTCTCAAAACAGCATGTGGTACAGGGCGGTGTGAAAAGGACACCGCGCTACAGTGATCAAAACAAGAAAAAGAAAAACGATTTATAGAAATTGCATAAAACACACATTACGATGAATATGAAGGAGGCTGTGGAAATCTTTTCTTTAATTTTTTCGGTTGTATCTATCACGGGGCTACACAAAGCCAGGCAGACCTTCAATGGTAGCGATCTATAAGTAAGCAAAGTGGGAAAAGAAATATAACAGCTGGTGTGATTTTTTTGTTGTGTGTGTTATGTCTCCAGTTTGAATTTGAAGTAATCATTTTTAAAGATTTTTGTGTTTTCTTCATTTACATAAGTTTAAAACTAATGTTACATGCAGAGTGTATTTGAGCATTTACACGGATTCATGATGATCTGTCTGTGAAGAACTCTGAAGCATTCATTTCCTTGGATTTCATTTCATGACTGCAAAGCCTTTACATGCTGCACAACATTTACATAACATAACATCATGGCCACCTGCCTAGCATTGTGCTGGTTCCTATTTTTCCTGACCCATTGAGGCATGGACTCCACTAGACCCCCGAAGGTGTGCTGTGGTATCTGTAACAAGATCAACCAACAGATGCCTGATTGGATTGAGATTTGGGAAACTTGGAGGCCAAGTCAACACCTGGAACTTGTTGTTGTGCTCCTCAAACCATTTCTAAATCATTTTTTGCTTCGTGCCAGGGTTCATTATCTTGATGCTAACTGCTGCATCGTCTGTTCGATCGGACCATACAGGCCAGCTTCGCTGTCCATGTGCGTCAGTGAATCTTGGTTGTCCATGACCCTGTCACTGGTTTGCCAGTGTTCTTTCCTTGGATCACTTCTGCTAAATACTGATCACTGCAGACCAGGAACACGTAACAAGATCTCCAGTTCTGGAGAGACCCAGTCATCCAGCCATCACAATTTGGCCCTTGACAACTCAAATCCTTGACTTCACCTGTCAGTGGGCGTAATGTTTGTGTATATGAGCAAACATCTGAGTTTATTAATTTGTTGTGCAATAATAACTGACAGAGCAAACGCAGTGGTCAAATTTTTTTTTTCTATTTAGAGATGGAAAAGAGTGAACAACGTATAAAAGTAGCCTCAGCTTAAAGTTGACAGTTGAGTGTGAGACTGTTGATACTAAACTTCACTACTCCAGACCCAAACAAACCAATCTCTGACTTCCTAATCACATATACACGCACACTTAACCACACATATTAACACTTTTGTTGATACACCTACCAATTTTCCTAAACATGCCCATGCACCACTGCTTCTACTCACTGCTGGGACATATTAAGTTTAATACAGTGCTCTGAGGAAGACAATCTCTTGCTTATGCTCCTTATTTACATTCTCTGTCTTCTTTCTCCTAACTCATCACATCAGCTGACTGAGAGTGCACTTTCCTCAGTTAAACCAATCAAATTTTGCCTTAACCTCTGACTGGGAGCCAGTAATTTTACAGCTCTCAGTTTTTTTAATGGTCTCTCTGCTGCTGTCAGCTGTTATTTCAGTGTAAGATCGATTCATCCCTCCTCTGTCACTTTTACCTCCAGTTTTTCACACACATGATGCCAAGTTCATAGGTAGTATATACGGTTCTATGTCAGATTAATCCTTCAGGTCTTCAGCATTGCTCCTTTCCCCCACACCACCAGCGCTGAGTGACTTCATCGGTGCATGACTGTATAGCTTGTGGCATAACAACCCCCTTAAAATGATGATGTCACAATAGGATTTTAATATTACAGCTCTCATAACTGTGCACGTCATGCCAAGGCTGTTTTCCTCCTCTAAGTCTGTCGGGAAAGCTCTGGTACACATCCTGAGTTATTCCAAACAAATCATTGTGCCCATTATGACTGACCAGCAATGACTTCACAGAGGTGAAGGGTTAAAGGTGAAGGTGAAGGTTTGTCAGGTCAGACCTTTTTTAGGCACAAAGGGTTTCTTGTAGACAGAGAGGTTTGTCAGGTACAAAACAAAAACAAAGGAAAGACTTACACCCAAATCAGTTGTTACGTCATAGAGCTACATCAGTAAATTTGAGGTGAGGTGCATTTATCGTTATAGTTTGTGTTGCATATTCACTGCATTTTCCCATTAAACTACAGTAAAACACAAATCTTTACCTTTTTCCTGATCAGTACTTTAAAATATTGGAATACTCTTAAAGAATTATGTTTGAATTTGAAGAAATGACTTTTATAATCCAAATATCATTTCTGAACAAAGTTTAAAAGATGTTTACATAAAATTGTACAACCCTTATCACAGAAGTTTTCGCTTCTTCCTCGTCCTCTCTATTGCCACCTCTAAACACAGTCATCAAAGCGTCGCCTTTAGCAGCCCATAGGCCTGCGCCGCACAGCTCACCTGGAAGATTATGGCTTAGAAATGTGTCAGTGCAGCTGTCACTGTGTTTACTCACACATAAGCGTGCTTTAAAAGTAGAAGCGACGCAGGGACTGTGTATTCCTCTGCGACATAATGCCATTTTGCAGCGGAGTCGAAATGATTGATCGTCTCACCGATTGACGGAAAATCAGCTTGTAGAAACTCAGATAATGAATCGTATCAACAAAAACATGAGAAAGTTGGTGGTTTGTTTTTCCATTTTTTTGTCTCATGTATCAACATTTGTTGTTTTGTTTTTTCTAATGACTGTAAATTGAATATATTTGGGGTTTGGGATCTTTAGTGAAACAAAACAAGAAATAGATGCTGTCACATCAGTCTCGGAATTTCTGATGATTAACTCAGGAAATGTCGTGCAACTTAAGAGAACATGAAAAATGGTAAGATTTTGGCCCTATTATGAATTAAATGATTATTGTTATGATTGCCATATTCTATACTGAGCTGAAAAACTAAGGAAATTTGTGTTCAGTAGATTATTTCTTTGTTGTAACAAAGCTTCTTGGTACTAAATAATGTATTCATAAGATTGTATATAAAATTTTTATTTATGTTTGTTTAAGTGTAACACTGAGGTCTTTGGGAGCACTGCAATTTCAAATTCCTGTGTTTGATCTCTACATATTGTTTTTGACAATAAAGTTGACTTTGATATTATACTGTTGGTAAACCTGTTTATTTCCCCTTAAATGCTCAACCCGAAAATGCATTTTCGGGTTGAGCAGCAAGGGTGAGTATGTTGCTTGCACCATGAAATACTTGCCAGGAAACCTGCCATGAATGCGCTTTATCATCAGACCTATTTGCTCTGGTGTTGGCAACATGTCCGCTGGAACCTGAACATGTGGAGGAACATTATGTTAAGCGATGAGCCCAGAGACTACCTCAAGTTTGGGAGTGGAGATTACAGGTGACTGCCTGCATTCCTGAACTCAACCCCACTGACCTCTTGTTGGATCAGCCTGGGTGTGCAGTTCGAGCACAATTTACCAAAAAAAAAAACAAAAAAAACCCCCACACTGGCTAATTTTTGCTACAAATTCTGGTGAATGTGATGTCATCCAACAGCAGTGTGTGACCAAGCTGGTGACCAGTATGGGGAGGAGGAGCCAGGCTGTGTACGGTTCTTCCACATGCTGCTGAGGCTCCTGCTTGTTAAATGAATAAATTGTTAAATTCCTAATATGCTTCTGTTTCTTCAGACTTCAATCATCCAATCCAATAAAATAAAACAAAAGTCGATAGCAAAATAAGCTGTTTAGTACTGGCAGAGATGATCTGGCAAGTTTGTCATGAGCGTAACCCACAAATGCATTTTCCTTACAAAAAATCAACCAAACACAAATTTCCTAATTTTTGGTGATAAGTTTATATCTTATTCACCTTCTGTTTTATTGAAACAGTAAAGACAAACATTGTGTATTGTATTTGCTTTTTCTCTATAATGCAAAGTACCGTAAAACCAAGAATGGGATTAAAAAGGTGAAGGTCCCATCATAACCTGATCGGACGGGACTGCCACACACTGGGACTCATGGTGTAAAATGTGCCAGGCAAGATCCTGTTGTCAACGGGAAGTGTGTAGGCATGGGTGGTGAGCAGGCAGGACTTACAATGTGATGAATCCTCGAGGTCTTGGTAATTATGGCGGTCGATGGACGGGGGGAGGGTTGGTGGAGGCATTTTATCTTAATCACAGCTCAGCTCCATTCAAATTAATTTGACAAGTTACCCCAACTCTTATTAAAAGACGCGTCCCCCCCCCCTCTAAATGTGACATTATTAAAGAAGTATATTAAAAATATTTTTGTCAAAATAAAGGGGTGAAAGAGGACACCACGAGGGTTGAAGACGCAGAAATTTGCCGTAGATATTTTCTCCCTGTAGGGCGCCCTGAGCCATCCATCCCTCCCACCTCCCGAGTGTTTCTATAGTAATTTCCAGCCAATGATCAGTAGGTGTCCACATCCCTGCTTCCTCACCTCAGCACCAATCAGCCACACACAGCGACAGGAGACACGGGCTGAACTGAGACCAGGCAGACACACACAATACAGCCTCCGGATCAAGAAGAGAGGAAACACCTAACCACCTCTGCGATTTCCGCTTCCCCCTTCTCTCTCTTTTTCGTCCGACACCTTTTGGCTTATTTATGCACTTTTCAACCTTTTTCCCCCCCCTAGCGTGTCCAGAAAGTCGATAAAAATGATCCTTTTGTTTTGAGCGTTCTCAGCACACACACATACACACACACACACACACACACACACAGTCTCCCTGTTCTCCTCCGGCAGCCTATGTCTGTGCGTCTTTTCGCGTCTTTGCATTATTTCCCCCCCGCGTATCCCTTCGCAGTGATGTGCCGTTACACGGTCTCCGGCTGGTAGCATCTTGGGAGCTCTTCTCAACAGGAACCTGGTAGGTGATGCTCTCTCCCTCTCTCCCTTCTTCTCTCTCTCTCGCTCTCTCTCTCTCAAGCTTTCCCTCTCGCTCCGAGTGTTTGTCCATCCTTATTTTGGCGTCCGGTTGCATGTGTTTTACCCTCCCGTTTTGCTGTCCCGATTTGTGTCCGTGTGGCTGCCAAGTGATCCGGCCAGTGTCAGATTATTTTTATGGGGCTTTTATTCGCACTGTTACACCGCACTCCCTCTCCGGATTATCTATGCATGACCTTTGATCTGGATGTCTAGCTCAGACCAGGCTGGGTGTAATTAATGGCATCATTGTGCAGCACAGCAGAGGTACAGCTGCTGATCACCGGACGTGTTTTGTTTATTTATTTATTTACTTTTCTTTCTTCGGTCTCCCTTTCGCACTCTCCACCTTTCTCTGGTTATCTTTCTCCTCTCCCCCTCTTTCTCTCTCTGTCTCTCCAGCTTCGAGTATTGAACATTTCTGTCTCTCTAAACTTTGTTTACAGGCTGAAAATCAATGTCCGTGACTTGATTGCCTTTGGGCTGCGTATTTCGCTCCAGGGGTGAATTGATTAAGTAATAATGACCCTGAGGAGGGCTGATCATTAAGCCAAGGAGGTTTTGTTTACGGGTGGCTGGCGGTTGTTTCAGATGCCACACTGACATTGAACTTCCAGATCTGGAGACTATGGTGGAGAAAACTCGTCTTCTCACATTTGCTTTGTGAAAATTAAAAGTGTAAAGTGTACCGAGACCTCAAGAATTGCTGGAAAGAGAGAAAAAATATATCTATATAAAACCGTATGGAACACTATTTAGATTTTATTCTCCTGATAATCTGGTGTCAGGTTAACGGGACAAATGCTTGACTCTTTGGGCATGTTTAGTAGTGGATACACTTTAGTATATTGAGGACTTTGATAATGCCACCCAGTGTGATACCTCTTGTTCTGTGTGTGCATATTTATAATTCATTCTTTTCAAGACAGCTGCTGGGTAGCACCATGGAAGTGATTTGAAATGCTTTAGTGTTCTAGCAATGGATCAGCTTTGGCAATTAAGAGAGAAAGCCCAGAAAAAGGTAATGGAAGTAGGGGAGATGTGTCTAATGGGCTTTTATCTGTGGAAACCAAATCCAGACAGACTGGGGGAGAGAGAGAGTGAGAGAGGAAATGGAGCACCCTCACCCCCCACAAACACACACACACATGGACACACACATGCATGCGTCCCGTCCTGAGGCAGCTGACACTGTAGTTGGTCTGGTCCATGATCTGGTTGGAAATTCACCAGTGGCTATCACTGAGCGCTGTCACAGAGTAAATGTAATCGAGCTGGCCATGAATGAATACCACTTGCTGCTCAGGCTGGTCAGAGTCTTGTTTACAGGGATGGGCCAGCTTTGCAATTACGGTTACTACAGGCGAAAATCAAGAGATTTGAAAATGTTTAACTCTGTAAATCCTCACATCCAAGCCAGATTATTTTTAAGAACCTCCTGCAGGAATTTTGTGCACGTCTTCACATGACATGAGGCTCTCTTCTAACTTTCCCAAAATAATATGATTTTGGATAGAATATTTAAATGTTCACGTTTTTATTAAATGCACTGCTGCATATCCAGATGTTTGTGTTTATTCTGTGAAGCAGCAGATTGAGTTTTCTTGAAAATATGTAAGAAGACCCTGGCAAGAGAATTTTTTTTAAATAAACATGCCAAATTTTTTCTCTCAATAATAATAATGACATGTTGGTCTGTCACAGCCATCACGTTATTGTCACTTGATGACTTTTTGTGATTATACTGTCAGAGTATAAACACTGTGCCAGAGGATTCTTCACAATATCAGCCTCTCTTTTTCAGAGAAAAGTTGAAATTGAGAAGTGGAAAGTGATCAGGATGAAAGTATTTGTCTCTTTCGTGTGTAACTGTTGTTTTCTTCTCATTTGTTTTGTTTTCTTTTTCTTTTTAGCTCTGGAGGAGACAAACCAGGATGGTAACTCGTTGTTCGTAACCAGCTTCACTTTGACGAAGGCCGCTGTAACCTCAATCTCTTCTCCTAAACACTGACTAGCGTTCCTCAGCCATGTCTAACATAAACAATGCACTTTGCATTGAAAATGGACAGAATGCAGATGTGTCTCTGCTACAAAAGGATAATCTTCAGGATGGTGGATTAAGTCAGCTTTTGGATTATAATGCAGAAATGGAAAGGTACAGGTCTTTTGCAAACTTTTATAAAACCAATGGGGCATTTCCACAGACTGCTAAGATTGCCCGCATCACGACGCCCATTTTTCCCAGTGCTAGAATTGGTATGTCCCCTTGGAACTGTGATAACGCCATGCTCTGGGGAAGGAAATCAGCGGCAATAAACCCTAATAGGACCAGCATGCATAGAAATGACTCCCAGAGGCCGGGGAAGCCTGGCGTGCCGCCAGAGACGCTGCAAATGGCAAATAATAATTTCCTCTCTACCTTATCCCCCGAACACTGCAGACCTTTAGCAGGAGAATGCATGAACAAGCTGAAATGCGGCGCTGCTGAAGCAGAGATAATGAATCTCCCAGAACGCGTTGGAACTTTTTCCGCTATTCCGGCTTTAGGGGGCATCTCATTACCTCCCGGGGTCATCGTCATGACAGCCCTTCACTCCCCCGCAGCCTCAGCAGCCGTTACAGACAGTGCGTTTCAAATTGCCAATCTGGCAGACTGCCCACAGAATAATTCCTCAGCATCCAGTGGAAACCCAGCAAAGAAGAAAAGGAAAAGGTGTGGGGTCTGTGCACCTTGCAGGCGGCTAATCAACTGTGGTGTCTGCAGCAGTTGTCGGAACCGCAAAACGGGCCACCAGATCTGCAAATTTAGGAAATGTGAGGAGCTGAAAAAGAAGCCAGGCTCATCGCTGGAGGTGAGAACCGGGGCTCTGCTTCCCCTTCTTTTGTTATTATCCCCTTGCACTCCAAAGCATTAACCTTTTCATCCAGTCACGTTCTAAGCCCTTGAAAATTGTTTCCATGCCCACCCATGCCTGAACATCCCCCCGGTTTCTCAAATCTGCCTACCCGCCTAGCCTAATTGGCAGTAATTAGGGGTGTTTGTGCGGAGCGCAAGCTGAGCTTGGCTCAGACACCCCTAATTGCTGCCAGTCAGGCTGGGGCTGGAACGCATCCGAACAACCCCGAGCTTGGCTCAGCTCCAAGCAGGGCTGGGAAATGGTTTTCAGCAGAGAGCCATCTCTCTCTGCACCCGGTCATTTTAACCAATTATGGAAACCGTCTCTGGATGGGGAGAATCAATATCTCACAAAGCCTCAGCCTCCGACCACCAAGAGATGGCGAGAGTGATGGCAGAGCTGCTGATGGCGTTTCTCAAAACATCCCCCAAGTTTTATTTGGGGAGGGGAATAAAGCACCCAGACTGATCCCTTCACACTTATCCTGTATGAATTGATTGTGCATATCACAGTGGGGTGGAGATAAAGTCATTTTACATTATATGTACGCCATTATGGGCAATTATGCATCAGTCTGGGGCATGATGCATAAAAAAATAACAATAATCTGGTCCACTTAGGAAAGGGAAAAACATATTAGGAATCGGCTTAACTGAGAGCTAGCAAGAGGCTTCATTAGGACACAGGGTTGAATTGTTTTTAAAGATTTGTTTTAATTGATCTATTTACCTGCTGACATTTGATTATCAGGTGCAAAGGCGGAATACGAATGTTGAGTTGCAAATATGGTTCTGATTATCCTGAGGTTATGACTTAACATGCGCCTGGATGAGTTTCCACCAAATGCAGCCCGAGTGCCAGATAATTTGTTCTCTAATCAGGAGATTACACAGGGAGGATAACAAGGTTAATTCTGAAATATTACCTAATCTTTGAGGAAAAACACCATATATGGATGTATGCTTTGCTAAATCTGAAGTCAAGTCAAGACATCCGTTTGTCTGATTCTTGTTTGGTTCTCACACGTGTTCAGTAATACAATGTTGACTCCACCAATGCCCAAGTCTGTGATGTAACGTTTTGTTATTTATCATAAATGTCACTTTTGTTTGCCACATAGAGATTTTCCATCAATTCAGTCACAGCCTGGCAACATTAGCACCTTGCAATCAATTTCTCCAGTCCAGAACCTCCAAAGCTTTGCTTCTTGGTCAACGACACAGTAATCTACATGTCTGTTTTACTCAACTTAATCCCTTAAACTGATCAGCTGTTACACGCAAGCTCTGAAGGCACACCATCAAAGTTTATTGTTTAAATTCTGCATTATTTCAGAAGTTATAAATTTATTGCATGGCATGTGTACGAAGTGCATGTTTGTGCATTCACCCTTTCTCACCGTTTTCTTTTAGAAAACAGGGTGAACGAATCTCTCAGTGAAGTGGGAGGATTTCAACCTTTTTGGAAGAGAAATCAAGATTTCAATAAATAAATAAATACATCCATAACAATAGTGGGTGTCTATGAACTGAGATGGTTTGCTCTCAGGCAAGTGGAAATATTGTCACAGTGGGGATAAAGACAATGATTTTAAAGGACAGACATTACAAATATAAAACGCGACTGTTTAGCAAAGAGACTTTCGAGGCTTGCATTTTAAATATTTTTAAATGTTTGGTGGCGTCATGCAGAATCAAATGTGTCAGGTTTGGATGTTTCTCTTAAAACATGCTGAAGCTTAGATTTAGAAAACAGTAGTGGGATCATACTGCACGCATGACTTGTCATACAGTGTACAAGACTCTGCTATTAAGGGGCAAAAAAATTAAGGTTTAAGAGTTTAATTAAATGGGCCATTAAGGAGGTTATTGAGTATGAGCTGGATGTGGATATTGCCGAGGTGTCAGTCTGAAGCTCATCGGATGCTGACTCTATAGATGATGTACTAACAGGTGTTCCAAACAGGTGTCCAGGAAGCTGGGCCCGAGCTCATAATCCATGGGTAGCATCACTTTTTGGAAAACATCCATTTGCAAAGAAGGTTAGAATTACCGAGGGTGTGAAGCCCCCCAAACAAATCCTAACTTGGATTTAAAAGCTTTTTCTCTTAGTTCAGTAATTCCTAGTATGGACTTCTCCAGCGCTAATTGTTATTTTTGACTCTGGAACTGTAATTACAGGTGCGCCTTCTGCAGTGTAAATGGGCTTGCATTTAAAGGCATCTCAGAGGTGTGAAGTTGTGCAGTTTTATGTACGTTGGCACTGAGTGGGTGTCTTTTCGCCTTGTTGACGACGCTCGGGGTTCGTTGGGATTTTATTAAAAAGTGTGAGGAGTCAAATGGTGCACGCAATATGCGCAGCATCACATGTTGTAACACGTAGTTGCACTCTGCGTGTCACCTTTTCTTCTTCTTCCTCTTTTTCTCTCGCACACACAAGATGTACGCAAACACACACGCACACACAATCTAGCATCTAACTACGCAGTCACAAACGCACACACTGAACATGAGCCAAGTCTACCTTTTGCCTTGGAAGAGACGATAAGCTACTGGCAGCCAGTTAGATTTGGCTGTCAGTGTTTTCCACATGGGAATCACCCTGAACTAATTATATCTTAAGCAGCGGTGGAAATGCAAATCAGAATTTTACTCACACCCCTGAAATCGGAGAGCCAATTTAATCTAATACCCCCTTTAATTTAGCGCGCTAATGCAAGGCCCTAGAGAATTGCCCTCTGTCACCGCTGTGCTGTTCTGCAGCAGATTCTGCTCTCTGTCTGCTCCGTCTCTGTGCTGCTCTCAGTCTCCAGGATGGATTAGTCTGGCAGAGGAATCTCATCTAACCTAACATTTCCTGAGCAGTTACCTTTGCATAGCTTTAGCTCAGATGGCTCAGAGGTCCTTCATTAACTTTCAAATGCTATACTTGTATGAGGGTAAGCTGCATCTTCACCTCTGTTTACCTCACCTGTCTGCCTCACTCCAGCTCTTATTTCTGCATAGTCTTATTTTAAATTTCTTAATGTTTGCCAGTGAAGATACAGTACAAACTGTGCTGCACCGAACAAAACAATTAAAGTACGTAAAAATGTATACGTATGTATCAATTTCACTCTTTGTAGTTATGCTTACTCCCCACCCCCCCAAATACAGCGTTTGGCCTTGTGGTGAACATAGCCTCATCTTTCTGCTAATAGTTCTCAAAATTACCATTATGTTACCAGGATGCTGCTATGACTCACCTGCTTAGACTGTCAACCCAAACCAAAGGTGCTGCAGAGGCGCGGGTGTCAAATAAAGGCCAAAATCACATCTTATATTACTTACTACTAGAATATTATGTTTACACATATGTTGTGTATATTTTGGTGTTTTCTGTTTGCTTTCCATTTATTTTAACCCTTCGGGTTTATGTCAGAGCTCTGAGCCCATGTTTGAGAAATATTATGTCTAAGGTTGCGTACAACAAGTGCTTCAAAGATCTAAATACATTCAGTTTATTGGGAATCGTTGGTGCTTCTGTTCAAGATCATGTGGATGTTCATAAACAATTCTGCGTGTGAACTGAATGTGTCTCAGAAAAGCTTTAAAACATTTATTTTGCTGAGAAATCTTTGGACTCTGTCCTTACACTTTATAATTTATCAGTTCAGTTGTCATAGATTTTATTATACATAGCATGGCACTAGACGGTGAAGCAATCCAGGCTGAATCCTGACCATCCTGACCAGTTCCTGCGAGATATTCTAGCTATGCTACAAATTCAGCTGTTGAATTTTACATAATTGTTGACACTGCATTTATAATGTATGTTTTTTTCCCGATGACTCTCACTATTAAAGACTGTAAATCGGTGATTTAATGCCTACCATGCCTTCTGCAAATATATAATTCAACAGAAACTTCCTTTTAATTCCAAATGGAAGTTCAGCTTATTGTGAAGCAGGAAGTATACCGGCAGGAACAATTTTACTTAAAGAGCGCTTCTGTAGGTTTTGTTTTTTACATTAATAAAATAGTAATGACAAAGAAATCTACTTGAAATAACATCCTGAGAGGCTGCTATTTTAATAGCAACATAACACTGGAGAAAAAAAAGCAGGAAAGGACAAAGCCAAGTCCCGCTGAACAGATTCCTCTTTCAATTAACAAATGTCAAAGGGCAGCATCAAGTCATGTGCAGGAAAACAGCATCCCAGCGTACAGAGATGTTCGCTCGCTCCCTCGCTCCCTCCCTCCTTCTGTTCTTTGTGCTGTGTTGATACGACTACATGAAATGGGTGAGATGAAAAGGTGGCATGGCTGCCTGGAAACCTTTACTATTGTGATAAAAGACAAGGCCCGAAATGGTAGGAAGCAGGACCTTGAGTAAAATAGCTTGGATTCAGCCCCTTAATGAGAGTGCGGGAGCCAAATAAGCAACGGTAGCCAGGTCTAATTTGTTTTAGGTGTGCTCAGAATAGATAAGGACAAATCTGTGGCCTTCACCCCCCTCCCACCAACCTTTGCCTCCCTGGAGATAACACCGAGTGCTTCCAGTCAATCTCCATGGGCAAAGGAAAGGAGGGAATGAAATAAAAAAAAAAAAAAGCATAGAAAGAAAAAGCCCGAGGGACGCGCAGCCTTTAGATCTGCAGATCTCTAACTTACTGGATTTATTCAAGCTTTAAAACTGCAGATTAATTTGGTCGCAGAGGTCTAAGGGGGGGGGGTGCGAAAGAAAAAAAAGGGAAGGAAAAATGAGACCGTACGCTGCTGCGCATCTCCACCTAAAGGGCAACAGTAAGCTCCTGTCAAGACAATGGGATTTTGCCATCTGAACCACAACGCAGACCGCTTAATTATACACATCTTTCCTGCAAGGTACCCTCAGCTACTTAAGAGCCCGGGCCCCTTTAGTCATTGTCATGCCCTTTTTCCCCAAGATTGGTTGTGCCATGTGGCTTTTCTGTC